GTGCCAGGTGGTGGGAGTAGAGATGTGAACCAAGTACCTCCCAGCCTGATGGGAGACAGATGAATAAAAATACAATTTCAGTTCAGGGAGAAAGGTGCTACCTCAGGGGGTGTCAGTGCTGTGTGCCCATCTTTCCAGGGAGGGGTTTAGAAAGCACCTTTGATGGGTGGAGATCTAAGTCAAGTCAAGGACTTGTGGGCAAGAAGAAGAGCCTTCCAGGTGAAGGAACAGCATGTGCAGGGCCTGGGCAAGACTCTGGAGTGGGGGAAGGGAGCAAATCCAGGGGGACTGGGAAGCTGGGCTGAGACTCAGACCACTTTGGGTGGGGTCCACAGCTGCACCACAGTGGACACACCCAAGACTCTGACAGAAAGAATGCAGGCCAGGCAGGGTCAGGGGGTGGGGAGCAGGTCTACAGTGCACTCTGGAACTCTGAGGGACTCTTCAGGGCATCTGGGAAAATGGAGACTCTGAGGCCATAGGAGAAAGCCATCATCACTCATCGGGGAAGCTGGGTTAATGCTCTTAGTCCCAGTCAGGTGTGAGGTGTCCAGGATGGGAAGAGACAAGCACTGTCCCAGGCCACCTTGACTTCCTCTAAACCCCGGACTGTTGCCAAGACTCAGGCACATCTTGAAATGCTTTCTGCTCACCTGTGTCCATGCCCCTGCCTGGGAGTTCCAGATATCCATTGTTCGGGGGGAAGGGGTGGGTGTAATGGAGTAGAAGGGGAAGGAATGACAAGCTAGTACCTATCATATGTTCAGGAGTATGCTAGGCACATTGCATACATGATCGCACCTAATCCTGGGACTTGCCCTATGAAACAGGTGCTTTTGCCCATATTATAAAGGTTAGGAAATGGAGGCTCAGAGACATGAACTTCTCTGAGATCATGCAGATAGTAAGTGATGAAACTAAGATACAAACCCAGCTCAGTGTAGCTCTAAAACTCTCCACCACAAAATAAATGTTTACTGAACACATGCTGTGCGTCCGACTTTGAGTTAAGCACTGCAGGTACAAAGACAAGACACAGTCTCTTTTAGAGACTGGAATGAGATAATGTGAGAGGGAACCGTCACCCACTATGTTTTCCCAAAATGGCCATGGCAACATTCCCAGATCCATGTGCTGCTTGAGCCTCACTGGAACTTGTGGCTCCTTGACAAACAGAAGAGACACTGCTGATTTCAGAGACCGATCATAAAAGGAGATACGGCATCCATTGACCTTCTCTCTATATACACTCATCCTCAGGACTGCACCTTGCTGTGAGAAGGCACACAGAGAGAGGAACGGAAACTCCGTGTCGACAGCCAGCATCAACCTGACAGAAATGGGAGCCACCCTTCATGGGACTTCAGCCCCTAGCCTCCAAGCTGTCCATCAGAGGCCCAGACCTCCGGGACAGACTATCCCACCACCATACAGGATCTCTGAGCATAGTAAGTATGGAGATAATCTGTTACACAGATGGATCAGCGCAGCAGTGGCAGTTCTTGCCTTACAAGCGGGAGGTCACGGTTCAATTCCCAGCCAATGCACCTCATGAGGAACGCCACCCATCTGTCGGTGGAGGCTTGTGTGTTGCTCTGCTGCTGAAGAGATTTCAGCAGAGCTTCCAGACTAAGATACCAGAAAGAACACCTGGCTTCTACCTCTAAAAATCAGCCAATAAAAATCCCGTGAATCCCAACAGTGTGACCTGCAACCAACCGTAGAGATGGACCAGCGTTCTGTTCCCTTGTGTGTGGGGTTGCCATGAGTCAGGGACCAACTAGATGGTAGCTCACACAACAGTCCAGAAACAAGGACTTTATCAACTCTTAGGTGGTATTCAAATGTAAGATGTTATTAACAAACCTGAGTTTGGTTTGAGGGGACTGCGTTGGTATCTGAGGAAGTAAACTTGTGTCTGAGCCTGAATTTTTCCCCAAAGCAGAGCCTGGGGCAGGGGGTGCAGAGTCACACATTTGGAAAGTTATCTATGAAATCAAGGGTAGAAAGATGGGAAGAATGAAGGTGGGAAGGAGGCTTGGCCAACCCAAGGGTGTGCTCTTGACTGGTCACTGCAGACCTCTGAGGAGACCTGTAGCATGAGCATGAGGTAGGGGGAGGATATGTCCACTGATCCCAGGCCTCCAGTCATCTAGGGGTGAGCAGGGGATGTTAACTCTATTTGCAGACTGGTGAGTGCCCAGAATGGATTGGTGAGCAGTTCCACTTGCAGAGGAGCCCGAGGGAAGAAAGCTGAATCAAGCACTCTGATGGTTGTATATCATCTTGGCTAGGCTATGGCTCCCAGTGGTTTTGTCAAACA